ACACTTTGTAAATAGCCAACTGGTCAGTCTTGCACCAGTTGAGATATTTAAGAAGTTTCTGTTCAATTTACAATATTTGTTTGCTCATTTCAGTGTCCTCAATTAGCATAGTAGTGCTAAAGACTTTGACACTTAAATAGCATGATTTATATATTTTACATGTACTTATTTTTTAGAACAGCAACGGATAGTACTAAGTAGTAAAACATGCTTTATCCACATTAAAATTTGGCTTAACAAGTTGGATAAAAGTGAAAGTGAACAATGTTGTTAGTCTGAAAGTGTAGGAACAAGAAAGAGTTTTTCTTAAACTTATAATAATAATTTAATTATACAGAGACATCTAAACAAGAAACGCTTTCATCCTTAACTTTTTAATATTAAATAACACTAATTCAATGTCGATTTTGATCGAAATAGGGTACCAAAAACACCTGATAAATACAGTCTGTGCGAACTCTATACATGTAATTATGTATTTTTATTTTCAAATGGCAGATCATAGAAACGAAATATCATGCAACCAATTATTTGAACTGAAATCATTTATTTTGTGGTTCCCAATAAACAATGGATGCCAGTATTCAAGTCTTATGTAAACATTCAGGCTACAAATATGTAGAATTGGCATGGAAATACTGAGTGGCATGCTGAGAGAAATGCCAAGGAATGAGGAATTCAATATGACAGGGAATTTTTACATACATACTTTCTGCATTTCCCAAAACAAGTGCACATGATAGATATGGCATAATTGACAGCAAAACAAACACGCTGGCAACAAGTCATGATTCTTAGTAATTTACCTTGTATTGTATGCAGGCTATTACTGTAACTCCAGATCTTAAAAATGTTGATGAAGGGAAAACGTGTCAAAAAGCAAATTTTACTCCTTTGACAGGACGAGTATTGCACTGTATTGACTTTGTTGATTTTACTCATCTGAGCTGAGAACAACTATGTCTTGTCTCTGAAGACATGTGGACGGGTGAAAGTTCTTTGCCCTGGGTCAATTGAGTTGATAATTGAAGATTAACCAACATGCCAAGTTTCACTTCCATGTGTATTTTAATGGCCTACAGTGTAGTTAGGCTTGAAATTCAATCGATTTTCAATGTAGACGTTGCATG